ATAGCTAAGCGTTGCCTTAGCATGACTTTGTACTTTTCATTGTTCATCATACCTTCAATAGGAATAGTAGAATAGTTCCTGAGTATTAAAAACAGCCCCAGAACATTTTTTTGGTGGGATGTTTAACTATTTGGTTAATATAGCTAGCTAAAAGTGGCTCATTGGCTGCCTTTCGTACGAATTTTGATCGCTAGCCCTGTACTAGGAAGTGTGTCTCATCAGAAAATAACACTTTTCTCCAATGAGCGTATTTTTTCATCATAGGCGCTGTCAGAAGTTGTTTCTTCTGCGGTCCCACGGCTCTTCTCCCTGCTTCTAAGAGACATCTGCATATCGTTGAGTCGTGAATTTTTATTCCAGCCTTTTCTAAATCTTGCTGGAGGTCATAACTTGTTTTTCTGGGATGAAGTTTGTTATCGCTGAAAAGAAAGGCTTCATCTCGACGAGTAGTCTTTCGTTTTCTTCAACATTTTCCTTTGCGCTGTACTTCAACTGACTCTGTTTCCTTTTTTTGTTTAATTATTTTGTTTACTGCACCCAAGCTTACACAACACTCCTTTGCAATGTCCCTCTGAGTCATCGGTGTATGTTCACTAAGTGTTATGATCCTTTTTCTTTTCCTAAAAGTGATATCCATATTAAAAAGTTAAACCTGATTGCACAGTTAAATCAATGAAAATAACACCAACTTGCACATAACCTGAGATCAACAAAATATAATAATGATATAAAACACAAAGCACGTGTTTAAACATTATACTAATAAGGTTTTGAGGTTGTGTTGTTTTTTTTGACAAAACAGTTGAACGAATAGCCACAGCAGGTGTGCAAACTTATGAAAACTGAATTTCGATCTCTGTTCACATTAATTCGCACAATACTGTAGCATAACAATAGCAATTTTTATTGAAGGTATCCATTTGCTTCTTTTTATTAAACATCTTTAAAATCACTATTTTCAAGATTAAGCAGAATTATATTTATATATAGTGCGATCCATTTGACATCAGTTACATTAAATTAAATTACGTTACGTTAAATTAAAAAATTGACTTGTCACAGGTTTCCCTAAACAACATACTCTATAATATTTACACTGAAAATCTATGAGACATACATCTTTATTCTCGACATTCCGTGTGATTACAAATAGTTCTCCTGCTTCTTTTGAATTTTGAATAATTTCACCTATTTATTCTTTCACATCTTGTATACAAACGTACAAAAACGTCGTTTAAAGCTTCCTGGGCAAGAAGCGAATAAGAATTACATACGTCAAGCTGTACTTTTTGTGACCATCACTTGGAAGACTTATTGCCGTCTACCTAATCTACTACTTTTTGCATTAACGAAATTAAAATCTACGAACCGAAAGCCATTTCAGTTATTTCCCTACATCGTGATATACAGTGCCATTCATTTTATTTTTTGTAGAGCGTGAAAGGTAAGACTTCTTCTGAATGCATAAAGATGCCACCACGCATCCTTTCTTCCGCGAATAACAACTGCATTACGAATGGCTGCGGTTCGTTTTTATTCGCCATTCCTTTTACAGCTAAAGTGCTAGTTGATTTGTCTTGAAAATTCTTTGTGTAACACATGACGACTAAGTCATGTATGTATGTCTGAAGACCTCTCATCCTCATTATTTTTATTAATTTTTAAGTAATTACATTTATTCAATGAATCTTACTTAATAAATTAAGATAAAGTTTAATTAGCTCAATAAGGTGAAAGATTGGGAGTAAAAATTGATAAGATTTGAAAACTAACTGGATTTTAGTTAACATAGAGATAAATCAATTAAAATGACACAATGACTATTAAGAGCACACAAATTAGACTCACATTTTGCTCAAGGAGTTGTGAACGTAGTTGGAAAAATTTATGGTGCCAAATACAAGTTGCGGAAATCCGAAATATAGACGGAAATCAGCAGATTAAGCATCTGCCTTTGATCATGGGATCTCACAGTTATTAGCTTTTACTAAATAATACAGAAATATTTTTTTATTATAAAGAGAACACGTATATCTAAACTTACTTGCTCTGATGATCAGTAAATACCAGAGCGATCAAACTAAGAATTTAGGTTCTTGACTTTAACCTTTACCTAGTTTGAGGTATTTTACCTAGTTTGAGCGCATGAACAGGAAAATCATAAATATAGTGCAAACATTATATTGGAACCAAAGCGCCATAGTTCAAATTGATGGGCAACACACAGAAGAAATGAAGATCTGTAGAGGAGTTAGACAGGGATGTGTTTTATCGCCACTTTTGTTTAAATTATATTCTGAAGAAATTTTCCAAAACACGCTCAATAATACCAAAGCGGGAGTTAGCGTTAATAAAACGAAGTACATGCTAATTACAAAAAGACCACAAAATATACATCACCTATTGACAATCAATGGTAACGTGATAGAAGAAGTAGAAAAATATCAGTACTTGGAAACTTTGACCAATGAAACCAATGATCATACTGCAGAAATAAACAGGCGAACAGGCTGAACAGGCCAGATTAGCATTTATGCGAATGAAGCCACTCCTAACATGCAAAAATCTAAATTTGGAGATCAGACTAAGTATCATTCGCTATTATATATTTTCAATACATGGAGCTGAGACTTGTGACATTGAAAAAAATGCAATTTAAAAAGAATCGAGGCTTTCGACCTCTGGTTATACCGCAAAGTATTAAAAATATCATGGACTGATAGAATTACAAATAAAGAAGTACTGGAGAGGGTTGGTAAAGAAATAGAACTAATCGCCACCATAGAAACCAGAAAACTGGAATACCTATTCCACGTGATAAGAGGACCAAAATATGAAATTTTGAGACTCATAATACAGGGAAAGATTTAAGGAAGAAGATATATGTTGGCCGAAGACAGAACTCGTGATTGAAAAATCTATGTGATTGGTATCAATGCAGATCGATTGATTTGTTTAGAGCAGCAAGTTCAAAATAAAAATAGCCATTATGATTGCCAACCTCCGTAGGGAGACGGTACTCTGAGAAGAAGTTTGAGGTGCATTGGGAAAGATTAGGGGTTTTCTACACTTAAGATAACGATTAGAAAAAAGAAAGGTAAGATAATTGTGTTACTCATCGGTACTGTAAATGAACAAAAAAGTAGCCTTGAGATACATGGAGACATCGTATAGTAATTGAGAGCGAATTGTATTTGTGCCATATGTCCATATCTCGGTATAGTTTATTAGGTTTTAAGTATGATCCAGATAAAATTTTTGAGTTAGTTCTGGCCTTCTGGCGTCTTGTCATCAACATGTCGACAAATCCTTTAAAGCCAGATACTTTTTGCTGTACCGTAAATCTGTTAACTATATTCTTCAATTAGTTTACTCCTGAAACAAATAAGGGAAGTTCAGTCTCGCTGAAAATTGAACTATATGTACATTATGATCAAAAACACTACCGAGAGTAAACGATGATAGTTAGGTGTAAGAAAATAAATCTGTAATAATAAGCTCTTTATGAATATTATTATTAGAGAATGTTCTAATTACGCCATACTTAAAAACACTTGATCATTGTCAACATAGCCGTTAAATAGGAGTTTTTAAATACAAGCAAGGATAGAACAAAATAGTTAACAGAAGTCAAAGGAGTTTTTAAATTAAAGGACAAGCGGAAAGAAAAAACATTAGCTATTATCATCACAAATAATTCATCTTTACTACCCCATCCCCCAACGAAAAAGTGAATAATTAAAAATACCTTGGAGCTATAATAAATTTAAAAAGTTACCAAAGTATTGATATCCGAAGACGTCTTGAAATTACCCGGCATAACCGTGATATATGTCTTCTTCTACAAGTAAAAATTTTAAGACGTTACGTTTTACATTATTGTACTCCATAGAAGCGTGAACTCTCAAAGAGAATGCAACAATACAATACAACAGACAGGGAATTCCCCTATCTTATCCCGTTGAAAGCTTCAATTGGCTTTCACTTCACAGTTCTTCGTCTAGTTAAACTTTTATTGTGTTGTTCTGGTAGATATTTTCGATCGTTTTGATTATTCCTAGATCATTTTAAATGTTATAAAGCTCAATTTCGTGATGTATCAGGGCGTAAAGTTCCAATTTCGTGATGTATCGGGGCTTACACTTCCTATTTTAGTATGCCCAAACTTTTGTTTTTTTTTAATTGTATTCTAAATGCCCACTCTTAAGAATATACTCATCCAATCTTTTAACACACGCATAGCGTCGATAACATGGCCTTAAGGGACATATACGTCCGTCACTGACATCTAAACTCCGGACGAAAGCTTAAGACTAATACTCTATTTCTTACTGTGTGACCAAGAATAATTCAACCTAAATACTACATTTTAGGACAGCAGCTAATAAAGTCAGAGTAATCATGTAAATATTCAACAACCGTAAGAGATAGGCTTTACAATAGTCTCCCAACATAAACGTTTGTATCCGTGGAGTGGCCTACTCCGTAAATACTCTGGTCATTTAGTACAGTTATCAAACCACTCCATCTAGGTGTTACTATGTCTGAGTTTCCAACTTTTAATACGAATTTCAATTTCAGTCCCATGTTTTAATTGCGATATCACGTAATACAGTTTATTTATTATCAAGGAAATAATTCTGGACCATACTCAATGATGTTAAAAGAGTTAACGAAATTTTTCTTTGATGTAGAAAACTTATGCTTTCACTGATTTCTGCTTGGAAGAGAGGCAAATGTGATTGTTGCTGCTTCAATCAATTAAAAACCATATAACAGGAGATTTACCATTTTAACATTATTTAAAATTTATTTTCTTGGTGATCAAAATAGTTGTAATTAATTTTTTTGTTTTGTTGTATAGGGACTTGAAAGTATTTGTAAAACCTACATAAAAACAAACATTTATGTTTGTTTTTATGATTTATGTTTTTATTATTCTGTCATCTGATGGAAAAGTGTTGATAGCTATCTAAAGATAAATTATTATGTGACGTAAAAAAGAACTAGTGCTGACAATCTATGACCGTGACGGTGCGAAATTTCGGTTTTCCATCATCAGACCTAAGCACGATTTGTAACGGAAGCCAGGCATTGGTGGGGGCTCCGGCCTCCCCCCATCCTCTTCCCCACGGACGGGGAGGACTCACCGGAATAGCAGGATGCTCCATATTGCCCCATCTGCATAACGATCCGTTTTATTGTCCTCCTTTCGGTGGCAATTATTACAGGTAAAGTATAGGTAAATTAGCTGATCATACAACTTCTTAATTACTAATTATTAATTTTTTGGAAATTTTGTCCTTTGGAAAACGTGTCAATATATATGTAGAAATAAAACGTAGAATAGCAATGACTAAAACTACTTTTATGAAAATGAAGTCATTTCTTTGCAATAACCATTTCAGTTTAGAACTAAGGCAAAGAATGGTTAAGTGCTATGCTTGGTCTGTACTTTTGTATAGTGCAGAAGTGTGGACGCTAAAAGTATCGATCATGAACAAATTTGAAGCATTTCAACTGTGGGTTCATATACGAATGCTGAAGATACCTTGAACAGCAAGAGAAACTAATGAAGAAGTACTAAGGAGCGTCAACAAAGACAGAGAACTGCTAAAGACTGTTAAACTTCGAAAAATGTCTTATCTGGGACATATAGTTAGGGGAAGTCGATATAACATTTTACAATTGATCCTTAACGGCAAAATAGAGGGCCGTAGAGCTGTAGGAAGAAAACAAGTTTCTTGGTTAAAAAACATTCGTGAATGGACTATATAGTATATATATACTATATCGTGGATATAGTAAGGGGAAGTCGATATAAAATTTTACAACTGATCCTTAACGGCAAAGTAGAGAGCCGTAGAGGTGTAGGAAGACAACAAGTTTCTTGGTTAAAAGACATTCATGAATGGACTCAGATACCAAATGCAGGACAATTATTTCATATTGCAGAAGATCGAGAAGCCTTCGCAATGGTGATCGCCAACGTCGGATAATTCTGATATGGCACGCGAAGAAGAAGAAGAAGATCAATATATTAATATATTGGATAATATATTGTGTAAACGCACACACGTTTGTTTTATGTTATATCAGTTATTTAAAAAGTTATAATCAATGAAAATCATAACAAGTTCAACGTCCGGTATAATCGAAAAGGGGTACAAAGCAGCGACCTGTTAGATGGTAAGTCAAAACATAAATTCATTATATATGCTCAGTATTTTTAAATGCATCACCCTGTATAAACTTTAACTTGTTCTAAGTATTTCCTATGCATATAATTAATAGGTTTTGGAGATATATTTAATTGTAGTGGAAAAAGGGGTATTTCATGAATTAAATTTATTAGTTACTATTTACAAATCAATTAAAGCAACACTCAAAACAAGCAAAATAAAATAAAGAATATTTAGATTTTCATTGTAGACGGTGTTCAAAATGAGGCTCCCATAACGTCCACACAAACTTTTTTCAATGATCTAACGTTTGTAAGCATTTATGGCGCAACATTATGAAAATGAATATGGCTTAAGTCAATTTAAGGCATGTCTGAGGAATACAGTGGTTTGTTAAAATCGTTTGAAAAAATCACAGACCGATATTGCAATAAAAATAACTGAAAAATGTCTATTTAGTGGTCAATGGAAATGAATTGTATTGAATATTTAAAGTAAATAGTGATACATTATTGGACGTAGAAGCTGGAAAGATAGGCCTTAATATGAATTACAGCAAGACCAAAACCATAACAAATACAGATGAAGACATCACAATGAGAATCGGACAAGATGAAATAGAACAAGTTCAGGATTATATATATCTTGATCAAACTATAACACTTAACAAAAAGAACCAAACAGCAGAGATAATGAGACGAGTTAGACTGGCATGGGCGGCATTTGGCAAACTAAGCTACATTCTTAAAAACAAAAGATATCCACAGCATCTTAAGACTAAAGTATACAATCAATGCGTACTCCCTGTTATTACTTATGGTTCCCAAACGTGGACATTTACAAAAGCAAACATGGACAAAATCATAAAAACCCAAAGAGCAATGGAAAGACAAATGTTGCACATAAGACTAATGGATAAAAAAAGAAACGAGTGGATAAGAGAGAAAACAAAAGTGAGGGATGTTAGACAAGAAGTTGCAAAATTGAAATGGAGATTTGCCTGACACAATATAAGACAAAAAGAAGACCGATGGAACAAAATTCCTATAAGAAGCAGTGGAACGCCCCAAATGAGATGGGCAGATGATATCAAGAAGCACGTGGGCTCTAGGTGGATGACTGTAGCGATAGACAAAGAAAAGGATTGGGGAGGCCTATGTCCAAAGATGGACCGAAGAAGGCTAATTAGATAGATAGATAGATAGATAGATAGATAGATAGATAGATAGTGATACATTACATTATTAGCACGTCGAACACATTACATTCATTTTAAAATTCCTTTATCAACAGGTTATCAACAAGTTCTCGTAGACACCTCGTCTCAGAACTAGCAACCTCCAGTGGAGTCTTACGTTGCTATATTATCTATTCCTGTTGTAACTTAAACATTTTATAAATTTAAATAATGTAACTCGAAAGTTATTTTAACATTTAAAGGGATTTTACCCATGTATTTAGTGGCTTTAAACATGTACATCCAGATAGCGCTGATGATGAAATATTAATTCCGAAAACGTCCCGTGATGCAGCCCGATAGGGTTTTTTAATATTATACCTTTTATAAAGGAATTTTTAAATAAATTTTTTGTGATAAATGGTATACAGCCAGCTACAGGAATTTAATTTCTTTGTGGACATTACATTCATTTTTGGTTTTATAAAAGTTTTCTGTGACTGACTTTCATTCTTACCGGTTTAAGTGTTGTTAAGGGTTCACCATACACTGATTTTTAATATAGCCCCACAAGAAGAAGTCGACTTTACATTCTGATGGTCTAGCGGGCTAATCAGTTGGTCATTCTCTTCATATCCATCTGTTAGAAAATTGTCCATTCAATTTACCTTGATGAGAGCGTTATGATGGAAGACGCTTCATCATTTAAATATCATAATTGTTGACGGATGTTAAGTGGCATGTTTTCAAGTAAAATAGGTAAATGATTTACTAAAAAGTTTAAATAAACCGCTCGGTTTACTGGTTCCTCAAAGAAGAAAGGGCCCTATTACATAATTACCCAAGATACTACCACAAGTGTTTAAGGACCACCTAGTGTGACTCTTCGTAATTATATGATACGGATTCGTTGTGGAGTAATAGTGGAAGTTATACCAATTAACACATCCGTTTTTTGTGAAGCGTTGTTTCATCTCCTTATAAAACAAAATCGAAAAAACTGTAGATATAACTATTTTTTGTTGTGCCTATTCACATTAAGCTATCCTTCTTCCATAATCCTTCACAGTAAATTATCGGTTACTGTCAAAACTGTAAAAACAATATGATTTTAAACTGAATTTGTGCAACATACCTTCATAGCAATCTTTATTACAATGATATAGGAACCATATATCAAAAAGACAGAAGAGTGAATGTAAAGGTAGTGGGGCAAAAATATTGTTAGATGGGAATTACTGTTTGAGAGGCCACATTAAACAAGAAAAGAGAGTTCCTTGTTTAAGAAATCAAATTTAGTTGGGTTATGTTCATGATACTAAAGACTTCCAAGATAAACCCACTTCGCAATCGAATTTTGTACCTCGACGCGCATGACGTCACTTGGTGATAAAAGTTCCACTTTTATCACCAACCTTTTATCAAAGAATATAGACGCTATAATAAACTTCTATATTCTTTGCTTTTATCATCACAGTCGGTAAAACATATGGAAAGAGAGGGTTTTTATTTAAATATTTAGAATATTTAGGGATGTTAGGTAAAATATCTCCAATTAAAACTTAAAAATATGTTATATTATACATCTCTGTTAGCCTAGCAATATAAATTAATACAATTTAAATAGATAATAAAATTATATAAAAAAGTAAGAACTAAACATCCTTTTGGAAATGGAAATTTATATACAATGGATTGATTTATTAAAATAAAAATTTAATACAACTGATAAAATAAAGTACACTGTAATAATTTACAAGTTTATTTAACAATTTATTTTACAATTTTTAATATTTTCTTCTTCTTAACTTTGGATGTTTCTTTAATATATCTATTCAATCTTCTAATTTTAAAAAGGTATAATTTACACCTAAAAAAAGATGTTTGACATCTGAACTTAAATTAATGATCCTTTGTTAAAATTGTTAAAAATATGGTCCAGTTCATTACATTTGATTAGAAAATCTGGATATGGTTTAAGTAAACCTCATTCGGACAGATGGTTTACCCAGTAAACCGATGTCAACGTACAAGATAAACGATAAAACAATACTAAATCTGACAAAACTCCATACAACACAGAACATTTCTGGTGAAATTTGTCGCCAAGTGACGTCACACGACTGATCGCGTGCGCGTGGGTTTATCTTTAGTTCATAGTATCATGGTTTATGTTATTGTTTGTACCAACTGCCACATGAAAGCTTATTTATATTGAAGTTTTTTAACAATTGTGTCACATTTTAGACTATTATCGTTATTATTTAATTAAAACTTTCTCGTCTAAGATTCATTCTGAAAAATATTTTATAGCTACTTTGAATTTAGCGCCTTTGCATTCCCGGATATGCCCTTCATATTAAGAGGCCACTTGTATGAATTTTGGTTTCCTTTTCATAACGGTTTGATTCTCTTTTCTTTTGTCTTTTTTCTCGATGATAGGAACTCATTTAGAACACTCTCTACAATGAAAATAACAATTTCTTTATATAATTTTTTGATGTTTTTTTTTGTGTTGCTTTAATGTATTTGTAAATAATAAAGTAAATAAAAATAATAAATTTTATTGATGAAAATACGCCTTTTTCCACTACAATTTAAAATATCTACGGAACTGTAACAATAAAACACTGAAAACTTTGTTTTCAAACTTCCACAAAAATTTTGTTTTAACTCTTATCACTACAGCTGTTTCGTCTGATGGCCTTTCTCAAGTGCCTTTCTCTAATCCATCAACTATTTACGGAACTATTAAGTATAGGCATAGGAAATACTTAAACAAATTTAACTACATTGACTGTGCAAATAATGAATTTGTGTTTTGACTAAAAAAACTATTAGATTTAAAAAACCTTAGCAAAATCAATTATTT